GCGCACCTGGCAATACCCTGCATTAACCCCTCTCTCCTCTCCTTTGTAGGGGTTTCATGGCAAAACCGGCCCCCCTGGCCCCACAGGGGTGGTGGGACCCCAGGTGGGTGCTGGGGATGGAGGCAGGAGGGGTTTGTGTTGAAGCGAGCCCGGTGGGATGGAGGGACCCACAGGTGCTCACCCTGCTCTTTCCCCACAGGGTAAATCAGGCGAGACGGGGCCTGTGGGAGAGAGGGGGCACCCAGGCCCCCCCGGCCCCCCTGGGGAACAGGGCCTGCCTGGAGCTGCTGGCCGAGAAGGAGCCAAGGTAGGAGCCGTGCCAGGGGTCCAACTGGTCACCCGGACCACCACAAGCCTGAGCCCGGCAGGGCTGGGACCCCTCTGAGCTCTTCCCAGTTCTCTGCTACTCCCCTCCACCTTGCAGGGTGACCCTGGCCCCGCTGGCATCCCTGGTAAGAGCGGCCCTCCAGGCATCCACGGCTTTCCCGGCACACGGGGAGCACCTGGAGAGACGGTCAGTGCTGTTCCAGGCCTGGAAACAGCCCGTTACGGTCCTGGAAGAGGGGAGTAGGGTCCTTTCTAACCATCTTCCCTGCCTACCTACAGGGTCCACCTGGCTTGAAGGGTGGGGAAGGTCCCCCTGGTCCCCCTGGTCCCACGGTGAGTGCAAAGCGTCATGACATTTGAGGGGTTATCTGGAGTTTTGGGGTTTCCCTTGGAATATATGTACTCCATGGGGAGCAATTTTACCACCCTGCTTAAAATTCTAGTTGATAAAGAGAAAGGTTTCTTTGGAGAGGAGGAAGACTGCTGGGGCCTTCTTCCCGCCACCCCACCTCTCTCTTCTCCCCAGGGTTCCCCTGGAGAGCGAGGCCCCACGGGCGCTGCTGGAGGCATTGGGCTGCCGGGCAGGGGGGGTGCACAGGGCCCCCCCGGTCCCATTGGCGAGAAGGGCTCCCCGGTAGGTGGAAGAGGGTGTGTGGGGTGAGGCAGGAGGTGTGGGGCAGCGCTGGGACACGCTGTGACTCCCATGGGTCCCAGCCAGCCCTGCTCTCAACCCTTCCCCTTCCTGCCCGCAGGGCGAGCGGGGTCCCATGGGTCCAGCTGGGCATGACGGGATCCAGGGCCCAGTGGGGCTGCCGGGTCCGGGTGGACCCCCCGGCCCTGCCGGAGAAGATGGGGACAAGGTAAGTCAGGGGGACGCCAGTCAGCACCTCCAGTAACGGCTCCTTTGCACTTAGCTACCGACAGCACAGGGAACGTATCCCGGGACAGGCGTTGGGGACACGTCCCCTCGCACAGGGCATGTCCCAGGGCTGGGGGACCTCTGGGATGGGGCAGGTTTCCCCTATGGCTTCCCGGGAGTGGGG